TATGTTTAAATAGTGCTTGGGTTTTTTTATAATTTCAACCCCCATTTTGGGTGTTTTAGTGAAACTCCCTAAATAATTTCATTCGGATAAGTTCTAGTGGTAACCATGTCATCAAACAACTCAAAGCACATTTCAGCTTGCCCCATGTATGGCAAAACCATAACTAATAAGCCCCCAAGAAACTATATCTTTGTGTGCCATCCTCTTAAAGACTTCATAGGCACCGTTTTCAACGCTGCCACATTTGACATACATGTCTATAAGAGCAGTACCAAGAGTTACACTAATCTTAGCTCCAATTTTATCAGCATATGCGCGTATCCATTTCCCTTGGTCTAAAGCTCCCAAATGAGCACAGGCAGATAATGAGCTCACAAGGGTTGGCTCATTTGGAGAAACTTCGGAAACCCCCTACCTAATATAATTGTAATATTGGTTATACTGTTTTCTTTTATAGTTCATTTGCCATGTTGAGACATTAGTCTATGAAAACATTATAAATCCTAAAGAATTGACAATTTATTTGGTACTGGCTCTTTTTTATTTTTTATTACATTGCAAGGAAAGAAATTCCAGGATTTCGATCCTGGGTGCCAAGCATGGGAAAGGGGGAGGGCCACAACATATTATTAAGAATGAATTTCTTTTCACTTTTCTTTTGACTGTGTTCTATATTCCACTCATGATTTCGTCTTTTTCTTTAATTATGTATATATTGTTGTAACCTCAAAGGTTATGGATGCCCACCATAAGTCCATTGTATTTCCTCTATTATACCCATCATTATACCTATCATTATAGGGTTGTAACATATGCACTAAATACCATATTTATAATTGGTTATTATGTTTTGTAACCCACTACTTAAGGGTGGTAAATGATGATGTATTTCCTATGCCTATAAATAGTAGGCACTAAAGATGAATAAGAGACTTGAGCATTGAGCTATTGAGAACTAATCTTACCTTTCATATACTTTCTCTTTTCAGTTTTATAACACGTTATCAGCATGAATTCTCTTTCAAAATCTAGTTGAGTGCCCCAATCAAATCCCTCTGCTTTACTCATCCTCTACTTGAGGTTTTCTGGGCAATTGTGTTTTCATGATTTCCTTGTGTGTAAATACAAACTCCCTTTGGTAGCATTCTATGTTTACAGAAAACAAACCAACCAGAGAAGAAAATTGAAGATCATTCTAAGAGACACAAATCAAAAACAAGGACCGATTTTTACCAAAAGAAACAAATTGAGGTGTTGAGTTTCTTGACGTTCAGAGTGGGATATGAACACCCACGAAACAAAGAGATAAGCTTTCTGACTTACACTTTATCTTCTTCAATTTATTATTATCATCATCATATCTATACTCATGCTAACATCTAAAGCAAGTATAGATGTGCTGGAACTTATTCTTGTGTGGCAGGTGCAAAAGTAGGAGCATATGGTCAATCCTCCACAAGTAGACCATTTTAATATATTAATCATGGTTTTTGTCGGTTTCACTTTCACATGATTTCATTTTATATCGGTACATATAATATTAATATGTAAAGTTGATGGTAATACAATATGATATATATATGCGGTTTTATTTTATGTATATATACCTAAATATATGTATAAGTAAATAAAACTATGACTGCTAGAAGCTATTTATGTCCATTTATTATATATTCATGGTTCACATTTATATGAGAATATGATGGTGGTTACACTCCATGTTTGTTATGATGGAGTTGGGAAAAATAAAGGAATTGAGACCCGAAGATCTTGATCCTCAATTATAAAAGGCTTGAAGACCCTAAATTTTATACAATTAAAGGAAAAAACCTGAAGATCCTAAATTCCTATACATCTAAAAGGGTATGAAGATCTCAATTCATGTATAATAAAATATAAGGTTGAAAAATCTACACCTTTGTATACATATATGTGACCCGGAAGTTCACATCTTAATGAGCTAAACCTGGAGTTTAACATTGAGCAAGTGTAATAATTATAGAACCAGAAGTTCTAAATGATTTTAGTGGAGCGTACTATCATATTACAGTTTTGAGGGTTATGAGTTCCTCAATTCATTTTCAATTAATTAGGACTACAATATCCTAAATTCTCAACCCTTGTAATATACTTGTATGTGGACATGAAGTTCCTCATTTTTCCCAAAAGCATAGAAGACCAGAAGTTCTTCAATCTCTCTTATTGAAACTAGAAGTTTCAACTATTTATTTTGTTACACCAACTTAATTATTGTCTTACTTTTGTTGTTGTACTTTATTTTTGTCATTTCAAAATTTTATATAAGGGCCTAATGTCCTAAAAATGACTTGTAGTTCAAACATCTCAATTATAATAGTTAATTATGTGTAATCCAAGACCAGAAGTTTTTGGGACATATGTATTAAAGTATATCAATTTGAACTTTAAGGATGAATTTGCATGTTTATTGTGTGTGTGTATATATATATATATATATATATATGTATTTTGTTATTTGTTAGAAATTCAAAATTTTCATTAAGGAGCAAAGTGAGAGACTCAAGAATTTTTATTCTTATACAACCAATGGAGGACTAGAAGTTCCTCAATTCTTATGTACTCATATAAGGGTCAGAAGATCCTTAGATTTCAATGCTTATAATATAAATATTAATGGAGGACTAGAAGTTCCTTAATTCTTATTCAATCATCTAAG